GAATTCATCAACTTATTAATTCAATCGCTCGGCTTGCTCGTCACATATATTTGCACCTCCGACAAAGAACATCGAAGAGTAAAGGCATCACATATATTGGCATCTCCGTCAAAGAAAGGCATCGAAGAATAAATAATTCACAAATATTGGCACCTCCGGACGAAAAAAGGCATCTATCTTCTTATCTTATCTTATATAATACAGACGTTACTTCAAAAAAGAAGATGATTACGTCCTACGCGTCATGCATTTAGTCATGCATATTAACCATTGACTTAAATTCTGCCAAGTCACTGGTTTTCCTGGCTAGCTCAGGCAACCCATTCCATGCTCTAATAGCACTAGGGAAGAAGGAGTATTTGTACAAATTTGTTCTAGCATATGGGACGAGGAATGTGCCTTTATCTTTGTGTCTTTCAGAGTATTTTATTAAATTTTGTTTTTGTATTTGAAGATTATGGTTCAGTGTTTTATGTATAATAGCTACTTTACTTTTGAGTCTTGTCCTGAAGGCTTTCTAAATTTAGTGATTTTACTATAGGTGTTACTCTAGTCAAATGTGAATATTCATTTGTTAAGAATCTCACTGCTCTATTTTGTGTCTGTTCCAGTTTCTTAATGTTTTCTTGAGTTAAGGGTTCCAAACGGAGGATGCATATTCTATTATTGGCCTAACCAAGGTTAAATAACATTTTAGTTTTATGTTCTTATTTGATTTATAGAAATTTCTTTTAATAAATCCTAATGCTTTGTTGGATTTTTTTAATAGTTTCATCAATATGTGGATTCCATGACAGTTTTTCATTTATTATAACACCTAGGTATTTTGCGTTTTTAGTCTGTGTTACTGGTTTGCCATGAATAAGATAAGTGGAATTAATTTGTTTTAGTTTTTTTTTTGTTACTCTTAACAACTGACATTTTTCTGGGTGGAAAGACATGCTCCAATTTGATTCCCATTTCTGTAATTCATCTAATTCTCTTTGTAAAATATCTGTGTCTTGTGTTGTTTAAATTGTTCTATATATTATTCAATCGTCTGCAAATAATCTGACTTTTGTTCCTGAAGTAATGCAATTTGGTAAATCATTTATGTAAATTAAAAATAGTAGTGGACCCAAGACTGTTCCTTGAGGTACACCTGAGTTTACTGTTATCGGTGTTGATTTAGAGCCATTTATTATTACAGTTTGTTCTCTCCCTATCAGAAAATCTTTAATCCACTGATGCAGTGGACCATTAATGCCAAAATATTTAAATTTTTTAAGCAAACTATGGTGGTGAACTTTGTCAAAAGCCTTAGAAAAATCTAGTAAGATAGCATCTGTTTGTTCACTATTATCTAAACCTTTAGAAAAATCATCAATTAGTCCTATTAGTTGTGTTTCACATGATCTATATTTCCTAAAGCCATGTTGGTATGGTGTGAGGACATTTTGTTTGTCTAAGTGGTTTATGATGTTGCTACATATTATGTGTTCTAGGATTTTACATGTGATGCTGGTAAGTGATACTGGTCTGTAGTTTCCTGGGTCAGATTTTTCTCCTTTTTTAAATAGGGGGGTGACATTAGCTTCTATAAATAAAGGCACCGACGAAGACAAGCATCACATACTGCATTTTCAAAGAATAACGTCGGCAAATTCTAGCAAGTTCTACGAATTTAAAAGGAAAAGCCTCTAACGAATAAATCATAGCCTCTCGTCACGACAAAGCCTCAAATCAAGCATTACAAGAAAAGCCTCTGTCAGAAAACTTCAACAAGACGTGCAATCATTGCAACGAAACGGGAAAGATAATCTGTTTTAAGGTCAGTACCTTACATTTTCTACCTTTACTAAGCTGTGAAAGCTACATTTACTAAGCTGTGAAAGCTACATTTACTAAGCTGTGAAAGCTACATTTACTAAGCTGTGAAAGCTACATTTACTAAGCTGTGAAAGCTATATCTACTAAGCTGAGAAGGCAACGTTACTAAAGCTAGTTGTACACTAGTTTGTTTACAAATACTGACCACTTGCATTCCTCAAGAGGAGACACCGATCAATATTTAACTAGGTCAGCCATAGTTAACCTCTCACCTGTGGACAGGTGTCGGTCATCGCTAGTGTAGGCAGTACTTATAAATAGCACAGTTATTAAGTTATTACAATGGCATTGGTCTCGTACTTGTGGAAAGAATACATCAAATTAGCCGCTGCCTTTTACATCCCACTAGAAAGAATGGAGGAATGGTGGGCACTCAACAAATAAATTACGATATACAAAAACGTAAGGCAGAAGAAAGAGAAATGATTAGAGAAGACAAAAGAAGACAAAGAGGCAGAAGAGAAGAAGCGCAAAGAAGAAAAAGAAGAAGGAGAAAGAAAACTTCAAGAAATACAAGAAACAGAAAGAAATGAAACTGAAGAGAAAGAAACAAACATGACTGAAGGAGCCTGTGACATTGTTTATGAGTACAACAAGAATACTACTGAACTTCAACTAGTTAATAATGAAGAATTTAAAGCTGACCAGAGGAAAGATACAACTTTGACAAGAATGTACAAGAAGGCGCAAACAATTGTAAAGCAGCCAGAACTTAATGTACCTTATTTCAAAGAAGGAATACTTGTGAAGAAAAGTGTTAATTATGATACCTATGAGTTTGTTGAACAAATCATTTTACCACTGAAATATACTCAAGACATCATTGAAAAGAATCACAATTTTCTACATACCAAACTAGCAAGTGTGACGAGGACAAAGAAAAGAATTCTTGACAAATTTTATTGGCCGAGCATTACAAAAGATGTTAAGAAACATGTTAGTAAATGTCAAGTTTGTCAAATGAACAATCCTAAGACAAAAGTTCCAGAGCAACGCACGAATGTTGAACAAAGTTACGAACCTATTGAAAATATTATACCAGACAAAAATAACTCAGAAAAGAAAACATTTCAACAAGATTTTGATACAAATATTACAGTCATAAAACCATGTGAAAAAACTCAAGAAGCTGAAGTCAATATTCAAAGTGAAAGAATATTTAATGAATACAGAAAGCTTAGAAATTTTAAACAAGGAGACAAAGTGAAGTTATGGTTACCTGACATGAGAAACAAACTGATTTATACATGGCAAGGTCCATTTACTATCATCAGAAAGATTTCAAACGTAACTTATGAAATCAACATTAACAAATATATCAAAGTGTTTCATGTTCATATGCTTGAAAAATACAATGAGGATACAGATAATGAAAACTTATCAAAAGAACTAAAACAAACTGTTACATGCTTAGAAACAATTCAAGAGAAAAATGAAGACAATATAACTGAATTATTACCAACGACATTAAAACAAACTAAATCTATTAAAGACATTGACATAGATCATTTAAAGCTGAAAAGTAAGAAAGACCTGTTGAATACAAGTGAAGAATATACTGAGATATTTCATGATGTTACTGACATATCAACATTTATAGACAATGTGATTGACTTAAAAACTGACAAACTTGCCAACTCAAATGTTTATTCTCTAACTTTGCACAATAGAGATTTACTGCAGAAAGACTTAAAGGATTTATTAGAGCCATGCATACATGAACATTCGAACTCAATGTTTTCTACTTCAATCGTTTTACAACGTAAACTGTCACTAAAAGAAAGATTTAGTCTCGATTTTGGACAGTTCTTGTTTGAACCTATGAAAAGCAAAGAATATTATAAGGACAATAGTTGTATGTTGTTTAAAGCTAGAATGAAACATATTCATGAACTGAGAGACATTCTGTACCAATTGAAACAACGTACATTTGTAGCTAAACTAAGCAGGTTTGTATTGAAACCAAAAGTGACATTTTTCAACAGCAGAATTGAACAAAACTCTCTGAAAACACAGGACAATATTGTTAAACGTATTTTGAACTATAAAGTACCAAGAAAGAAGAAATGTGCAGACAGACTAGAATTGTTTCAAGTATCTGGAAAGAAGAAAGTTGCAAATCTAACAGGACTGTACCGCTGTGTCAAGATTTATTTTAATAATTATGTCATGCAATTGTTTATTACTTAGTATATTTACCTTAGTACTGTTGTTATAAGAGTTTTAGAAATTAGTAACTTGGCATAGTATAATTTTATATATTTTTGTATTTATTATAAATGAAGGAAAATAAGTTAATATTCAGATATTCTGTATTAGCAAGTAATATGATGGGATTACATGTATTTTTCAGTATTGTGAAGTTGTATAATTTAGATATTTTCTTGAGTTACAAAAGTTAGAAAAGTTCATACTTAAATATCATATAGTGACAAGTAATGTATGGAACTAAGATGTATTCTTTTGTGATACTTATTATATATGCTAAATGTGTACAATATTTTGAATTATGTAATTGTAATGAAACAATTATTTGAATTATCAGTTCTGTACATTAATAGAACAATTTTTTTTTGGTTTTGTGTGCATATATTTTAATAGTAATAATGTTATTTTACGCATTTTATATTGCATACAAAATGCTAAAAAGGCAAGGGGGTAATGTCACGAGTCGAGTCTGTGACCTATTTCAACCAGTTTCTAGAAGCTCTAGTTCAAACCAGTGCAAGTGTCCAGCGTAAACAAGTTAATTTTAGGTATCCAATCAAAGAAAGGAGTTAAAGGAAAAAATAGCACACGTCAGCTTCTAGAAGGTCAAAGTTACTCAAATAATTATCGGAGAAGGTTCCAGGATTCTGGAACGAACGATCAAAGAAAGTATAAATTAGGGGAAAGTCAGTCAGACGGAGTCCTCGCATAGTAGTAGTTCTTGTAGAGCGTTGGTCATCGCTCAGTCCTCGATTAGTAATAAGTTTTATGATATTAGCAGGTGCATTAAGTAAAGTTTTAGTAGTTGAAGTTGAAGTTATACTAAGTGAAGCTTCATGTATCATTTAAGTTTTATTTATGAAGTATCAAGTCAAGTTGTTATTGAATTAAGAAGTTAATTTGATGTGAAAGTTGGAGAAGTTATTAAAGAAGTTTGAAGAAAATACAGAGAGATGTTTCTTATTTCATTGAATTGTCAAGTTTGATAATATAATCCCCGGCAAGTGTAATCGTCAAAGCAATAATGGCACTAAATCTGATAATCAAGTTAAATACATTTTGCTTTGATTGATATAAGATGTGCTTGATTTATAAATGTAATGTATAAGCTGATAAATAGAACTAAATATACAGATTTTTTTTTTAAAACAGTATTTAGTATGATTCTGTTCATTCAAAATGCTCAGTTACACAGTTATGTTCAAATGGACATTTCCATTTTATTATTAAAAGTTTCAGCAGTTAAATGATTGCAAATTTTTACAAATTCAACAAGACACTATTTAAAAGTAGGAGTTACTATACAGCAGCTAAAAGATTGTTTTAAAAAATCAATAAATAAACAAGTGTATTATATAGATAAACAGAGTTTGATAATCTCAGGTTAGTACTCTTGGTACTTTAGCAATTCTATATCAAGAGTGAAACAGTCTGATCAAAACACAATATTGAGTTGCTTGTGTTACATTAATATTTGGGTACAGTATAGATAAGGAATGCACTATCTTTGAATAATAAAGACATTAATAACAGCCAATAACTATTGTGTTCTAGACTGTCTTATATTTAACTCTTTACCAAAGTAAGCTAAGCAAGGCTCTCAGTTATACATGAGATCAGCTACAGAACTATTACTGAAGACTATCATGTTAGAAAAAGATTTGAAAAAAAAATATGCTTCTTTAACTTTCTAATGTGGCAAATGAAGTGTTTTTTCTTCTAGATCTTCATTCAAAAACCACTAGCACAAGAAGTGTCAAGACCGCAAGAAGTGTCTGAACCGGCCAAGAAAACCCAATTATATACAGAAATTTGAATCTTTGTTTAACAAAAGTGTAAATAAACATGAATGTGAGGAGAAGGTAAATCATTTGTTGGTAGAGAAACATCAGCAGATTTTAAGACTAGGAAATATTGTTTTGTGAATAAGAAAGAAATTTTTTTTCAATTACACAATTATTTAAAAATAATTGTTGAAAATCATTTAATAAAATGACAAAATGCAAAACATCTTATGACAAAAGTTGAGCTCAAGAGTAAATTACAAAAACCCAAAAAAGCATCAAAGAAATTTTTTTAAAAATCACTCCAGTAAAAAAAAAAATTACCTGTACTTATTATAAGATTATGAGTTAATCTCATTGTTTCCTCTTATGTTGTTGTTCTTCAGTCTTTAAATTACTTACGTATTACAAATATATGTAGATAAAACAAAACTAAAAATTGGTGTAAAATGATAATTTACATGACTAGATCATTGCCTCAAACTATCAAAAATGTCTCATGATAAAACACAACAACAAAACAACATAAATATTTCTTAGACTGAGCATAATATTTCCTTTTAAAAATTGTTAATTGTTGAATTATCTAATGGAATAAATTAGATGACCTTTGCAGTTTAACCCAAATCACTGTAGTAAATTTCCCATTTTGCTGGGGATCACCTGGAAACAAGACAAGTAAATTTTCCCTATTGGAATGGGATGAAAACTTTTCAGTTACACCATGAAATAAAATTGAGTAAAGTTAGCAACATACTTGTCTGGGCACAGTGCTAAAAAAACAACTAACATTGACATGTGTAATAATTAAGGTACCTTTCAGGGGTATTCAAATTAATTAGACTAATTGCAAGTCTTGTGTTTAATTGGTGAATAAAATCACAGAGCTATCTAGGCATCATGAGACTGAAACTGGGTTTTTAGGTTATTAGAAATTTAGTGGACAGCGCCCATGCTCTTCACTGGGCATGTATTCATCGAAACATAATTTAACTGCCTATGATTAAGATTTAGATTTCAGATCAGATTTTATGGCACATAAGCACAATTTAGGTCATGTCGCGCTCTACTTAAGAGAAGAATGGATGTAATATTCTTTTGTAGTCTACAGTCTACATCGTTAGGTATATTTGTTATACATACTATGCTTATGCCAATGGTAGATTTCTAATATTGTAAAAAATGTCTCAAAAAGTGCCAGATTGATTTCCAGCATGATCAACCCACTAGTCTGTTTATCTTTTGGTACATATTGAAACACTGCAAAAGATTTTTTTGTTAGGACTTATATTAACAAATTTGAAATATAAAAAAAAACAAGTTTCATCAATAAAAAAAAAGTGTTTTAACTTTCGTTATATATAAAATAATTTAAATTAATTTACATTTCACCTAAAAACTGCTGAACAATTGTGAATACAACATGAAACAAATGTGAAGAAAATGCTATAATAACAAGGAAAAAAATATATATATAAAAGACTAATATAAAGCATTTTGATTGTCCATTCAATAATTTGTTTTAAAAGTGTATTTAAAAGTAAATTCATACGCAAAATAAACTTTATCTAAACAAATGAAAAGCACTACTATTAAAATAATTAACATAAAATCTTAAAGATTTATGTATAGACCAAAATACAATTACAGTTATTTGGTCTAGGATATATATATATATATATATATATATATATATATATATATATATATATATATATATATATTACAGGTGATATATAATTTATCCTTATAAATAAACTCTAGTGTATAAGAAATATGTCATTGTGAATCAAAAGGGAATCAAGGTGAAAGAGGATGTTTATTTACAATGGAGCATGATGATGAGATAACTAATTTTCCATTATTTTCACAGTAGGACAAAGAGAAAAACTTTCAAAACATATTTTATTGTTATCTTAAAAAAATAAAAGTGCAATCATAATATTGTTATAAACCTGGTGGTGGCACAGATGGGGGTAGTCGTGTGTGTGTAGTCAGCCGACGCAAATCGCCCCAGGCCAGCGCTAGACGAGCAGTCAACCGTGACGAGTTACGACGGTCAGCATGAAGGTTCGAGTAGGATCGGCGTTGTGAACAGAGCTCAGGAGCGTCACAAGGGATGTAGTCACATGACCACCCAGAATGGTCGAGCGACATTCTGCCCGGTTCTAGAAGGCCAGCAGGGACCCTATATAAAGAGCGAAGGTATCAGAGACGAGTCAGTTACAACATCCCGATCTACAATTCGTTACTACGGCTCAGTACAAGTCCGAGACGAGACAGAGAGACCAGTGCAAAAGTTGATACGGCGGCACAGCTATTAACAGGAGAGATATTTGTACAGTCTTGTGTTACGTGCTGCCAATTGTACAATATTGGCTGTTATTTTATTGACATTAAACTATTACGTTATTTGGAGTCCTGAGTTGTCAAGTTCTTTAAGTTGGTGGTGTACGGTGCAGTTCGCAGAGAGCCTGCATAGTGAGATTCGTAACAATATAATATTAATAAACATTAATTAAATATTCACTCTTCCTAATTGTGTTAAAATGAAAGTTAAAAAGCATTTCATAAAGTTAGCCCCAGTTAGGTCATACAATTTCAGCAGACAAGGAAAAGTGAGCTGCACTGAGTTCGTTCGTTATAGAAGGCCTAAACACTGACCGCAACATCCCAACCTTTGGGCAGTTTAGACCCATAGCTCATTGCCATGTCACGGGAAGCTTGATTTTAAAGTAGATTGCAGAAGAAGACAATGTATACATGAATGTTCCAAATTAAATTGAACTAAAAATGACATTTGAAAACAAAGCCATAAGTACCAGTGTTAAACATGAAAACTTCATTAGAAATATATGTTTCACATCATAGTAAAAAAGAATAATGCCATATTCATTATTTAAGGCAAATATTTGGTGTAGTGCTGTTGTAAAAAAAAAAATCTAAATATTTAAACATAAACATTGTCACAAACAAACAAAAATTATAAAGATAGCAGCTGAAAGTGTTATTATGTGCAAATATGTCATATTTATAAAAAAATAAAGAGCACTTTTGCATTAAAAGTAATTACCATTTTACCATTATGGGAAGTATAAACAATATTAAAATGTAAGAAACTCTGGTTCACTTTACATTCTGAATGAGTCTGGTGTGAATGTATATTTTGGTTTTGTATAGTTATAATGTTTTGTTTGGTGTGATGCACAAATTGTAAGATAGTAGTTCCTCATGCATAATAAAGATTATTATTATTATTAAAAGCAACTTCTTCTTCTTCCATCTTGTAATTATAATAATAATCTTATATAATAATATATAACACTATCACATATAATACAACTAATGAGTACATGTATAGGTTTCCATGACACCTTTAGAGTTGTGTTGAAAAAAACAAACTACTTACTCAAATTCTCTTTCTCGCTCTAACACCTTAATGACAATGTTAAGCTACAACTATGAAAAAGAGCGACTGAACTATTTACGTCTTAGGAGAAACAAACACACTGAGCAGGATAATAGCAATATCTTTACTTGATAAGAGCAAACCAACATGTCTCATTTAAAACAAGACACCTAAAAAGGATAAGCATCTTACATCTACTCAACATAACAAGACAGACCAGTTTGGGCAACCAAACTCAATCAAGTGAAGAGCAAATAAGGAAGATATGGCACTTTTCTACAGTTCAAATTGCGTGACACGATAAAATATGGTAGCAAAAAGCTGGCTAGAAGAAGACTAAATAATTCCCTTGCCTTCAGTAACTTCTGGTAACATCTGTTTATTTTATTCTATGATGAGTCTTAGATGTCATCATTTTCAAATATCACTATTATACCAGGTTGACAGTCTTTGCTACATTTTTTAGAAAAATATTAAAATTTCAAAAAATACTCATGAAAGTGCAGTAACTTTTAAAAAATTGAATCTTTTCTCATACATTCATTCTTAGTAATTGAATTAAATAACAAATAATGCCAAAAATTCACATTAGGATTTTAGTGATAACTTTTAGAGTTCAGGAATTGTATTGTCATCCACTGAGTCAATGTCAATAAACAATTTGCTATAAAAAAGTCAATAAACTAATTTCCTGTTTGTGTTTTGAGTGAGGAGGATTTTTCCAAACAGAATAACATGTGAAAAAAGAAAATCTCAAACAAGACACAACAACTATTTTATATTAATGATTCACAAACATTGGTATTGCATTGACTTAAAAAGTCAAAACAATTGAAAGACTGAAAGAATAAAGAATCATTTTAAAAACACAGAAATTATGAATTGGGGAAAAAAAAGAGACAATTTAAGTACTGGAATGTCAAATTCATTTGAATAAGTGGTTTGATTAAATATCTTCAAATCAACAAATGCTAAATTCAGAATAAAATGTGAAAACTGGAGCCTTCTATTTAAAACAGACTAACCAATGTCTAAAGAATGACTTGAAAGAATCTTAACGCCTGTTTGATGAATTATTTACAACTGATTTAAAAAAAAACAAATTCAACAAAAACTCTATCACATAAAGACAAGAACAGTAAATGTGAAATATCAGCTCATCATTTTACTAATGTATTTACATCTAATTTTAATAGTTATTTATTTTATTCGTGTCAAACATTGCAAGGTAAATTCATATCTATTTGTCGACAAATGCATAAATCAGTTGAAAACTATAAGATTATATTACTATATTTAAGCAATGCCCACCATCTGACTAGAGTTGTGAGCATATTAACACCAAACTTCATCATCAGTATAGTCATCATCAGAATCTGACCTCCGTAACATCTCTGCTTCATCTACTTCTTCCAACATCCATGGTGCTCTTGTGATGACTACAAGTAGTAGACGGTCTAAGTATGATTTCTGACCTTTGAACTCTTTTACAAGATGTCCCATCACTTCCAACACTTGTTCCTATTACAAAAACAAAATTAGCTTTACTGGGAAACAAAAGTAAAGAAACAATATTATTAAGAGATTTTCTACTTTGGTAACCAAGAAAGATCTTCATTTTCTGAGCATCTCTCCTAGATAATAACACTAGATATTGCTTTGAGTGTGACAAATAATGTTATTTAAAGCTTCTGCAGAAAAGAGTTAGTTTCTCTTTCTTTTGCTACTAGTCTAAAAATGATATTTGTTTAGTCTCTCTTAGAAATATTTTACCTTAGTTACATCTGATGCTCTTAGTCCTTCAATGCCTTCTTCGTAATAATGACTTATACCAAGATTATCTGCAAGAAAAATGGAATAGACGTCTCAAGATTGAGTAATTTATTAGACCTAAAACGCCTAAGTTTTAAAGAAAAAAAGAACTACTGACCTTGTCTTTCATCCATAGCAGTTTGATTTGTAGACTTAAATTCACAGATGTAGTTCAAGGCGCAATCTCTTTCTGATTTAACATGTTTCACCTCAGTTTCCTATTTAAGAAGATACAAAGCACACTCTTACATCTGACACAAACAAAAACTCATTTCAATGCATTTATATGTGATATCATTAGCTTATCTTCCATGGTCAATTTTACAATATTAGTACAAATTAAAATGTTAAACTAAACTGATTACCAATTTCTGGAGGCTTTCTTTTAACTTTACAATGTCTGCATGAAGAGCTTCCACATCATGTTCAGATTGTTTTTTGTTGTCATATGTGTTTTCTTTCAAATCTAGTGATACAGTCTGCAGATATTTATCAACATCAAAAGGTTCTTGTTTCATAACTTCAAGAACAGAATACAGATCATGCCATTTTTTGTTCAAACCTGACACCTAAACATTCATACAAAAATAAACACAATCTTAATTAGTTGATCAAAAAAAAAAAAAAATTACTTAAAACTTAAATCAAAAGAAATTGAATTTTCTTTTTCAATCCTTACTTAAATTTTTGTTGTTTTATGGACACTCATGCATAAAAAAATTGATAAAACATTATTTGTCGTTAATATCTAAAAGATAGTAAATAACATGTAATTAAGGTAACTTACACAAAATTAAATAGATAAAACCAATTAAAATGAAATAATACCATTTCTTTATTGTCTGCTGCCTGCAATGTATGACTAATGCCAGGTTCACTGCCACTGGGGGAATACAGTATACAAACAAATTTGATCAAAATTAAAAATGAAAAGGATTTCTTAATACAATAATAATGTCGAGAAATAAAATCTGTGAAGGCTATTCATAAATGTAATCATCTTCTTTTTTTAAGTAACTTCTGTATTATATAAGATAAGATAAGTACCAAGTCTAATAGTTAATAAGGATTCAAGTCTGAAGATCAAGGAGGAGTGCAGTATTTCCCATGGCTACGAATTCCAAGCTGTAATCTAAATATTGTATGTCTATAAAGATTCTATTTCTGTGGAATTAGTTTTGCATAGTGCAATCTAACAGGGAATATTGTGTGTTCATTAAATCTATAATTTCATTTTGAATTATTCAAAT